TGAATGAAATAAAATTTGAACCATTTACATGGAGGGCATTGTATGCGAGAAAATGAAAAAAAAAAGAATTTTTTTCAAATTTTATTTTTTTTGGGGTGGTTCCAGGTAGAAAATGGATGGGTGCATTACACAAATTTTTCAATTCATTCCTACATAAAAAATCCCTGTAAATTTGAACAGCCTAGCATTAGCCCTTCAGATGATAATAATTATGAAAGGGGGTTGTTTAAATTTCAACACTCTGTATATCTTAAACGGGTTACTGTTTTTAAATAAAACATATACCAAAAAATCGACCAAATATTTATGAGTATTTGCTGTATGTTTTGTGGTAGATTCGCCTTACTGTTCAATAAAAAAATAATAATTTCCAAAACATCTTTTTTCAAGGTCATTCAACTTTAGAGCGCCACCCTGACTAAAGGGTAGGTGATAGATATATGCTGTCTCTGGTTGAATTGTAGAGAATTTCGTCCTCTTTAATTTACTAGAAAAGTATTTTTTTATAAAACGTAGCGGAAGCGCTACGTTTCGGAAAAACCACAAAAAACGACCTTTAGGGGGATGAAAGGAGATGTTCCAGGGTGAAATTTTGTTGGAAAAAGTTAGACCCATAATAAGCAGCCCTTTTTCTAGCAGAAAAAAAAATAAAACCGAACTTGTGTCGAGTTTGCGAGGTTCAACCTCTCTTTCCTGGCCTATTCCCCGGTTTCGAGAATGCATTAAGAAATTCAACTCAACAAAGAACATGATAAAAAAATATAAGCATAGTAGAACAATAAGGAGTAGTAAAATTAATATTGAAATTCAATAAGTGGTAGGTTATGATGAAAGACATAAATGCTCCGCGCTCTAGGTCATCTAGATAATAATCGATTCCTTCTATTATCGTACAGGTTTCCAGATTCTGAGAATAGTCGCTCACTGTAAACGGTACTTGAAGGAGCTTATGAATAGATCTTTCCAAGGTGGCTCATTTTTGGATATTTCAAACAGTATTTCTTCCACCAAGAAAATGGATAATCGTTTTTGTTTAAAATTTCACCTGATAAATAAGCCTTAACTCAATTTCAGTATCGTTTTTGCGATTGGAGTGATCAAAGTCCTTATTAGTCAAGGCTATTTCTTTATAATATTTGAGTTCTGACATGCTTTAATAATTATTCGGTATTCGGCCGAATATTCGGTTTAAATTCAGCCGAATATGCGGTATTCGGTTATTCGGCCAAACTACCTTTCGTCGCATCACTAGTACATAGTTTGAATTGTTAAAAAAATAATTAAGATAGACAAAATATAAATGGATAAAATACAATCACAGTGTTGGCAGTGAAAATCGAAATAAAAATTAAAAAAAAAAAAAACAGAAAGATGAAAAGATAAAAACATCAGTTTCAGTATGGTAGCATCGGGGGTAGCATACATTAAAAAAAAATTAATAATCAGCAACCATAGAAGCACAATTAACACAATTTTCCTTACCCAACCACTATACTAAAAGTACATCAACAATAAAAAAAAAAGAAATGAATGAAAATGAGATTTAGATCTAGTTTAAGTAAATTCATCCATCAACAGCAGTTTAAGCAGACTTTTTTCAAGCATATTGCAACTTATATTGAAAAAATCAATATCAAGCTCATTTATCACCCTATTGGCCACATTACACATTCTATGTATAGGACTATATCTAAAAAGTCCTGTGAAAATCAAATCTATACCAAAAATCTCATTTTGACTAGTTACTCTCTAAGGAATTCTAAACGGAACTTTTTTAAATAGCTCAGGACAATTGATTATGTTAATACAGATTTAATGAAGAGTAGGTACTTACATTTATCAAACTGTGTTCTTCTAGACCCCAATGTTTGTAAATTGAGAAGTTTGTAGAGTTTGCCATAGTTTATATCATCAATTGGAATGCCCAACCTAAAATTAATAAATCTTAAGAATTTACATAAGTGTTATAAAAAGGATACCAAACTGGACACGCATATTCCAGACCTGATCTAACATAGCTACAATACCGAGTACAACACAGTACCTTAAAGCAATTTATATCATCAAAGTTTGATGGTGTTCTGATAACAAAACCCAACATTTTTAGTGCCTTATTCTTGATAAAGTTTATGTGGTAATCGAATCGCAATTCATCATCAATATAAATTCCAAGATCTTTGATTTTATCGACTCTCTCCAAAAGTTGATTATTGATATTATAGGGAAAAAGTATGTTATTATATCTTTTTCGGGATATTGTCAGAACACTACATTTCCCTACATTCAACTCCATACAGTTAGCATTACACCAGGCATAAAGTTTATCAGTATCATTTTGCAATTTGCGACACTCATTTTCATTTTCCACCCTCATAAACATTTTCAAATCATCAGCAAACATAAATTACATCCAAAATCCAGAACAGCAACAAGATCATCAATAAAGACATTAAACAGTAGAGGAGCCAGATGAGATCCCTGAGGGGCGCCCGATGGCACATGAATTTCATGAGATACAATTTTTTTAATTTTTACAAATTGTTTCCGATCAACTAGATAACTCTTAAACCATGACAGCATCCCAATAGCTCCAGCTTATGCAAAAGTAATCCATGGTGCACTCTGTCAAAGGTCTTAGAAAAATCAGTGTACATTGAATCAATCTGACATCTCTCCTCCAATGCCTCCGACAGAGCCTCACCATAGACTAGCAAATTAGTCAAAGTTGAGCGGCCCTTCACAAAACCATGCTGTTTGGTCGATAATGCATCTTGAATGATAGGAGCCATTTTATCACTGATTATAGATTCAAAATTTTTTATAGCAATACTGACTTTAGAGATAGGCCTATAATTATAGTCTGGCAAGTGGTAACTTGGTAGAGACGAAAGGGCGAAGAAAAGTGGGGCGTGACCTAAAAATATTCACTGACACCGCCTGATGACAGCCATGTCTTTGAGTTCAGTGGCACCGAAAACACTAAGGAAATAAACCAATAAAATTATTAGAAAAAAAAACTCTAGTTTCGCCGATAACCACGCCACTGCGTGCTGTCGTTAAGGCTCTAACCAATATAATCATGCCTCTGAATAATCACGCCTCTCCACATCCATCGTTTCGCAATGTTGTCGGATTTTTTTCTATTTCAAAATATTATACATGCCCATATAGTAAAAAAAAATATGTCACCAACTTGTTTATTATTGTTTCCGTCAAGTTTGGCAAAGCAGCAAATTCTTTTGGAGTTCGCCGTTTGGCTAGCCAGACAATATCAACCAATGATCTGTCGCCTGATTTAAATAGCGGAGTATTAGGTCGGCATAGACACACGTTCTTCCGCGCGGTTTATCGTGTCATCTGCAGAAACCTGTGAAAAATCATGTGCGTGAGTGAGGAGGGCTACGCGCAATCATAGAATGGGAAGGGATTTCAGACGTGCTTTCATCTGGAATGTCACATCTCAGTACTTAAGTACATGATAGTGCAGTTCACAACCGTGTCCACACGCCATTCCACGTCACGGTTTTGAGGCTAGTACGGAGACATAAACGCCGCGTAGTGAACTATCATGTTGAAAATTAGTACATGACAACATGCACTTCCAAACGACACGATAAATGACACTTTTTACCCATACACATACGGTTTTTCCTTTCCAGCTGATATGCCGCGCGTAATCACGTGCTAAATCATTTGAATACTTTGTCAAGTGTATGCAACATCACGCTTTTTTTGCTACGCCGTTCTTTCGCGCGTGCAAACCGCTACATCCCAACACGCCACGATAATCCGCGCGAAATAACGTGTGTATGCCGACCTAATATGTGAGATTTTCCAGCAGTCTGGAAAAGTACCAGTTGATAAGGATAACCTATAAACTTTCAGCAAAATATTTGACAAAAAACATTCACATTCTTTGAAAAATATCACGGGCAGTAAATCTGGTCCAGCCGCAAGGTGCACATCAATTGAATTAAAAATATCCAGCAAGGCATTATCACAATCATTAATATCAACAAGTCCATCAAACCCAATAACTGGTGTTCTACAATCTTTACTCTTATATACAGACCCAAAGTGTTGAGCAAAGAAATTTACAATTTCCTTAGGACACTCAGAAGAAACATCATTATACTTCATACTATCGGGTAACTTGAAGTTGTATTTTTTTTGAGTCAACATATTTCCAAAACATATTACTACATATCATAATGTTATGTTGGACATTATTAATATAATTTTTGTGATTCATTCATCAGGTTCTTACTTATGGATCTTAAGCTACAGAATTCCTTGAGATTGCTTCCAAAGTTTTTTTTTCTTTCTTATTTAATATAGTAGACTTAAGCTCTTCGCTTTACCAGTTTTGCGCTTTATGATGGTTATCTGGCAACTTCTGGAGTACCTCAAGGTTCAATACCGGGTCCTCTTCGCTTTAACCTTTTTATTAACGACATAATTATCTAACTATGTATATCACGGGGGGTTTTCATACAACTAAATATAGTTGTTCACAATTTCTCACTGATTTGCAGAGAAATAGTTATCAAATTGAATTATTCTTCAACATCATTGCTGGTTTTGGGAGTCTTCGAGAAAACGGCGTTAGCTTCCAACTTCACACTAGTTTTTGATTGTCTTGTATTTTATACTTTTAGTTCTTAGGACGTAAATTGTACAATTTTTCGGGGTTTCTACTCGTCGGGGTTTCTACTCAGCCCATTCTGACAAAAATAATAACTGTGCAGCATCGACAAATATTTGAAAAAAAAAGTTTTTTGGTACCCATTACACCCAAAATTTAGCTTTCAAAGGAAAGCACATAGGTATTCACATGTTCACACAAACAATTACTTATTAAATAATATGTTGTACCTATGATCTCACCATCACCTTTACTAAATATATTTTTTTTTGCATTATTTTATAGTTCAATAGGCAGATGTTTGAGTCGAAGACTTCTTTGAATATAAAAGTACTTATTTGTCTTCATATTTTAGATGTCACCCTCAATGATTATGCTAATTCATCAGCGCCAAAAAACCGCATCAAAAAGGCCTCAGATAATGTGAATGTTGTTTTGAAGCAGGAAGCAGAAAAAAGCTGGGATGAAAAAGATGAAGAAGACTTCGAAGGTAACTAGGCATTTTCGACTGTTTCATTGTCAATGTAGTCAATAAAATTGTAAAAAACAACATTCCCCCTTGTGGCATCTGTCTTTCATGGCTTCATTTTTTGGGCAGATATGGCAATGTGTGCGCATTCCAGTTTTTAGCTATAGTTCATTGGGATCAACCATGTGCTTTTTTGTATCCTTGGTGAAAATTTCCATCAAGTACTTGAAGTCCGTCGATTTTATTCTAAATACTTCAAAAAAATGTGAGCTGGTGGTTCACTACGTTAGAACGCCAATGGTCAGCTGATATCACACCTGTGTTTGCCATACACCCCCTCGCTCCTGATACGGAAAGTGTCAGATTAAAATCGACGGACAAGATATATGTATTAGGAATAATCAAGAGAATAAATCTATTATAAGAATCAAATAGATTTGAAGAATATTTGAATAATTCATCAGAAAAAAAATTGTTGGTATATGACTTTGTGTTTCAGTCTCGGTTTCAGTAGTGTCAATAAGACCCAATTTCTTTTTTTCTGAACCTTATTAAATTGATAGCAGGTCACATTCACCATTTATTTTAAAACCCTTCAATCTCAGTCAATAAATTTTTTGACACTGGATCTCTAGCTATATCCACCTTTGGAGGCTCAAAGGATTTCAAAATTAATTTATATGGAGAAAAAAAAAACTTTTAAAGTTAAAGTGTTTATAACTCTAAATAAAATATTTTAATTTCAAGCTACAAAAATCTTATACAAATTCCTCATACAGGTGAATTTGTTTCCCAAGAAAACGAAGATGGAACATTCACTGTGGTTCTCAAAAAACTTCCAACAACACCAAAGAGGTCATTGTCCACCAGCAAAGGACAGGGCAAAGATTACTCAATAGACATTTGGTTTTTGATATCCGAATATATTAAACCAGAGGATGTTGGTACATTTGCAGCAATTTGCAGGACTTCTTTTGAAGTTGTATGTACCGCCAAGTGAGTGTTTTTCCATGTTCATTTTACAAGCTAGTTCTACAATTTTTTTTTTTTAGATTTTGGTTTAATCTCCACCGCCGATGTTACAAGAATGTTCCAGACTTGCCTGAACTTCTACAACCTGAAAGTCTTATAAGAAAGTATGGCTTGAGAAAGAACGTCATTCGAGCCCTTTACCACATGTACACTCCATTTGTGAATAGATTAAGATTGTTGAAGTTTGAAGAACATCCAGAAACACTAAAAAATTATGGATGCCAGTCTGTGTGGTATGTCGAGGACAAAGAATACAAATATTATTATTTTTTCAAGATGAAAAAGAATATTTCCAATTGTTTGTCACATTCCAGTGGACAGTTACCAGATTTACTGGAAGCTTTAGATGACATTGCTGCAAATCCTGATGAACATTGTAAAGTTCTGAGGGTAACTTGTTTGCACCACCATCATATTCAACCCCAAATTATAGGTGAGTAGTAAAAGTATTACTAAGAATTTAATTATTGTTGAAATTGAGCTATAAGTATGTAAATTCTTTCAGGGCTCTCTCTTAAATCTGCATCCGTTAACCTTTCAAGGGGAATGTGGACAACGAAATGCCAACATCAAAAATTACAGCTAGTATTTGGAACAAAAAGTTATATGGGTACATCACAAAGCGGCGCTGACTGCACATTGGTCCTATTAGATCCTGTGATCAATATTAGAGTTTTCGACTGGTGGCACCCTCTATATCCTTATAATCGCAATGAGTTGGGCCGATTTTCAACCTGTGAAGAGTAGATAAAGGGTTGGAATATTTTTTATAAGAGTTTACTAGTGACTGTTTTTCTAATTTGTTTCATAAAATGAAAAAATTATTGAGACAAATTTGTTAAGATTTTTCACAAATAGCATTTAAGATAAATGATGATATTCATAGTTAGCTGTTTTTTGATTTGATAGACAACGCAGTTGAAATGGATTTTTTTTTTCTGAAGTTTCTTTAGTACCTATTCAATCTATCTGAGCCTGTTTACGGTTAGCTGAAGGAAGATCATACCATAGCTACAGATACTTCACATAAGGATTAATTAATACTTGATGCATGTGTTGTCTACTAAGAATTAGCTGTTTGATTTTTGCACTTTACGTCTTATGATTCTCTAGATACCATTCACATAGATAAAATCTAAAATTTATTAAAATTACAAAGTAAATTCTGGCATTGTTATTTTTGTAATCACTTTATTTGTAAATATGTACATTTTCAAATAAAAAGTATCTTAAAACAAATGTCGTCCAGATATTTATTACTTTTCATATTGAAAAATTTTCAACCGAAAATCCGGGGATCCTTTTTTTTTTCTTATTTCCTGCAACGCTATGTACTGGCTCATAATAACAGATTGAAATGAAAGGTTTCTAGATACGTATAACTGGATATATACAATAAAATGCTGTAAAATTTAAAACTTATTTCTCCATAAAAAAAGACTAATAGGGCGTTTTTAGTTATCCTCTCAACACTTTGGATGGGGTGCCAGGTGCCACTACCATTTCTTTAAAAGGAGAATTCAAAAATGGATTCTAGAATTCATTGAACTGATTTCGGAATTGGTTTGGTAGAGAGTTGACTAAGTATTCTAGAATAACCCTTCGAATTGGCTTTTAAATCGGTAGATAATGGAGTGTTAAAAATATAGTCAAGTGTTCTAAACTAATCCCTAGAATTGACTTGGCAATCGGTAGGGGTGAAGGGTTGAAAATATCAGACAACTCCTGAAAAATAAGGATTTTATCCTTTCTAATTTGAACAGAATGCCACTACCATTTTTTAGTAGGGACAATAAAATGTTCTGGAGTAATCCCGCTATTACCACTGGCTATTACCGACGTGTCCGAGCGTTTTTCCTAAAAAATACTGTAGATTCTTTTAAATCAATTTATAATTTATACGTTACCTACCTAGGCCACTAATGAAAACAATGTACTGAATAATGCTGATATACTTATGTATTTCTCAAAAAAAAAAAAAAAAAACGTATAAGAATGAGTATTTACCACTTTACATGTAATATATAGCTCAAATGAACGTGGAGGAAGCCTGTGAAGGGGTGATATTTTCTGGAGGTGTAGGCGGGTCGTCATCATATGTTGTTGGATCGTCCACTTTCTCGTCCTCTTCGCGATTTTCGAAACCATTTGAGTACATTTCGTACACAAAATTTGACTGACAGCAATGTAACTTAAATGGGGAGCATTCGAAATCGTATCAAATTTCGTATACGAAAATATTCGAGAATAGGACCCCAGCGGGCCGATTCTTGGGCCAGGGAGTAGAGCTCCTTGAGAGAACAAATTTTTCGTGTTTATCATTCTCGTTTACTTTTCGATTACGTTGACAAGGACAAAACATTCGTTCTATCGGGGAGCTCTACTCCGGACCGAAAATCGGCCCACTGGACGATAGAGGTGACGTTATTCCAACTTAGCCCTTGGCAAAAGGAGCATAGGATGGAACACTAAAGCCCTGCCTTTCTGCAACTGCACGGACAAGTCACAAGTCACCATTCTTGTAGGGTCTGAGAAGCGGGCTCTGCGTACATGTGACGGCCATGAAACCTTGTCCACTGGTGACCCCCATCCCGTCACACGGGCTTATGCCTACCCCCAACCATTTTTGCACCTGGTGGTATAGGTCCTCTAAGAATGATATTTTGCAGCCTCTGTGGTGGGAGGAAGGCGGGTGGCGTTGACTTTGGCCGTTGCTGCCGATTTTACAAATACTGAGTATCGCAGAGGGAGTTCAGCTTCGTGGAGGCTGCATTTCTCCACATGTGAAGGAATTTGCTGGATACTGGGCGCACACTGGACCCACCTCTGCCCCATTTCTGGAAGTACACGTTTGTCTGTCCAGAGCTCAATCCATTTAGGAAGACCAGAGTATAGGTTGACATCTTCCCCAATTATAGAAACTTGTTCGAACAATGAGCTCCTGGAAAGGACAGTCATCAACATATCAGCACCGGCGTCTTCTCCAGATTGATGTGCCTCAATACCATGCCTCTCAAATTCCATACGCATCATAATTCATGATGATCAGTCGGCGTTTCTTGGATTCGTGTGAGAGCAGTTTTACTTTGATGGGTGTTGATTCATCAAACAAAATGACACTGCAGGAGAGAGAAGCAGAGCGCCGCAGGCGTTCGGCTGATTTAGTGCTCCTCATAGCCGCATCTTGTGGGATCCATCAAAAACCACAGGTACGTTTTTACCAAAGTGGTTGATAACATAGCTGGCACAATGGCTCTAACTGAATCACTTCGATGTCAGATCACCTTGTGCAGTAGACACCACATCGACAACATGAATGCTTTGCATCCCTGCCAGCAGCGGCAAACACGTATTTGCGCACCACGAAAGTAGCACAGCGTTTTCAGGGTTGCAAACTTGGATATAAACTACTCCCAGGGATCCTATATACAGGGTGGGCCCGCGAAAACGAAACAAGGTCGATATCTCGTATTTATCGTTGATTGAAAAAAATAGCTCGGACCCGTCGATTTTTATTCGGAGGGGGAAATCTTTTGCACATATTTTCAATGTTATCACATCAACCCTCTCGCGGGGGTAAGCGCCAACCCCTAAATCTTAAATGGCAGTAGGGGTCGAGCGATACCTCATTTCAAAGGTCATCGAATTCTCTTTTCAACGGTGCCTAGTTTTTTTGAGTTTACTAAGTGTTTTTTTTTAAAAAATATTTAAAATTAGAATGTATTTAGTTGAATTTTATTGAGTGATAAAAAAAACCTAGACTTAAACCTTGTGATTTCAAGTTGGATAGCGCACGACTTTAGAAAAAAACACATAAAATCACTTCTTAAGTAAAAATTGTTATAACTACAAAATTGAAAGTGGTCAAAATGACTAAAACAGTACTAGTTTCGTCTATTTTTAAATGCGTTTTCTCGAAAACCACTGCATCAAATTCAAAAAAATAGGCACCGTTGAAAAGAGAATTCAATGACCTTTGAAATGAGGTATCGCTCGACCCCTACTGCCATTTAAGATTTAGGGGTTGGCGCTTACCCCCGCGAGAGGGTTGAAGTGACAACATTGAAAATATGTGCAAAAGATTTCCCCCTCCGAATAAAAATCGACGGGTCCGAGCGATTTTTTTCAATGAACGATAAATACGATATATCGACCTTGTTTCGTTTTCGCTGGCCCACCCGGTAGGTACATATATATTATATAATCGTAGATACATGCGATTTTTTCCTTTTTTTGTGTCGATATTGACTGGCCTACTGTACCTAGGGGTAATGGAAAAAGTTCTAAAGTAAAACGCTGTGCGAACAATTTATTTGCATTTTCTGGGGTCTAAAATGTATTGACGTTACGTAACAGTAAATTCTGGAATACCTAGTTATTTTTGTAGTTGAAAGCGGAAATTTAAATATAAATTGGAAATTTTAATTCCCAAACTGATACAGAGACCAGAATTATAATTATTATGATAGTGAGGGTTTATTTCATTTGTGATTGCATGATGCAGGACTTTTGTAAATATATAATTTTTTATTTATAAAGTTTATCTCTTATAAACGTTGACTTACTTCAGATAATTAAACCAAATCAAATTCCAATAGTACAACCCCTTAAAAAATTGAACTCGAATATATCCAGCATTTATGAGCCTGTTAGATAGTAATTTCACATTCTTGTCACTTTGTTTGTACATATTGTTGAGAAATTTCCTCGGGAGCCCAGCCTGATTCTGAGAATGTCATTGTTCGGAGAATTCTATTCAAGTATGGCGCCAGGTTTTTCTAGATGAATCCCGAGTACACTCTCCTGTGATGAATAAAGCGTAGTAGCTTAAGTAAAGTCCAGTTCCAGTTCGATATTTGTCGTGTAGGTGGGTTATAAATGTCACCCCCCTCTATCTTTTTTATTTGACATTTTAGAAAAAAGTGTCTCAAAAGTTTTATGGTTGAAATTAAATATTTTGAAAAGCTCACTTTCGCATATACAGGGTGTTTCAGAAAAGCTAATCGTGCTCCAACTTTCTTATTTTAAATGGAATACCCTGTATATTATTGAATATTCAGTTTCTAAATAAAATTCTGAACAGATTTCATTTGATATACCTTATACCTAAGTTCAACTGTTTTGGAAATATTGACAGTTGAAAATTGACTTTCTTGCAACTTTGACAGACTGTAAAACCTAAACGGTTAATCTTAGAGCAAAACCGATCTTACATATTTAAGTTTCTTAGATTTTCATAAACTCTCAGTTGACACTGATATTTGACATACCCACTTCGAAATTAATCCATGATTAAAAATTCCAATTAAATTTAATCTCCGGTTAAATTCAAAGTTGGTGTCAAATCATAGCTTACAAAAATCTAAGAAAAAATGTAAGATCAGTTTTGCTTTAAAATTAACCGTTTAGGTTTTACAGCCTGTCAAAGTTGCAAAAAAGTCAATTTTCAACTGTCAATATTTCCAAAACAGTTGAACTTAGGTATAGGGTATATCAAATAAAATCTGCTCAAAATTTTATGTAGAATCCGAATATCCAATAATATACAGGGTATTCCATTTAAAATAAGAAAGTTGGAGCACGACCAGCTTCTCTGAAACACCCTGTAAATGCAAAAGTGAGTTTTTCAAAAAACTTAATTTCAACCATAAAACTTTTATTTGGGACACTTTTTTCTAAAATGTCAAATAAAAAAGATAGAGGGGGGTGACATTTATAACCAATAACCCTGTTACATTCCAAATAGTGATAAGTGAATTTTGTGTATTAATTTCAAAAGAAAGCACAAAGTCTTCCATAAAATACTTTTATCATGAGAGTCCTACATGTTTCGAGGATAGATGAGATCCTCATCATCACAGGCAAGTTTGGTCAAATTAATTGACAAGTGTTAGAGGTGTTTGTTATAACAAAAAGAAGAAGACCGAAGGCAGAATTAGGAAAAACAAAATCAAGAAGAAGATGGATGATAGAAAAAAAAAACAGAAGAGGAAGACCGAAGATTGAAAGAGAAACAGGAAGAGAAAGCCCGAAGACAAGAAGAACAGGACCAGCTTCCAGGAACATTTTAAATTAGAGCGAGAATGGGTCCAAACCGTAATCTCTGAGGAGCAAACCAAACTCGAGAAAATTCTGGAAGTATACAGGGTGTCCCAAAAAGATACCGACAAACATTAAGGGGTAGTAGGGGACATCAAAACAAGCATTTTTGTTTATATAAACATATGTCCGCAAATGA